TTACTGACCTACCACACCCATTTTCTATTGTTTTCAATCGGTTTTGGTATTTTAGGTAAAACCCGCATTCTAAAAGCTGGGGGCGGCATTGATTATCATCAGGGGAGATTGGGGCTGACTAAAGCTTGAACCAGGTCTTGAAAATAAAAATCAAGACCTGAAACAAGTCTTGAAATCGATTTTCAAAACCTGGTACCTGGAGATCACTGATGAAGGAGAGGATTGCATTCTGCAGTTTTAATTCGTTAGCTCAATCACTTTAATACAAAGTTGTCTTTCGCACTTCGCAAATGAATAAGGCCAAGGTTTGATTTAATTCTTCGTCGGTCATATTTTCTAGTGAGTTTTCCAAAATTTCCTGGCTTGCACTAGTTCCGACTTTTCTGTTTCTTTCCTTTCTCCATGTTTCGAACAGATTGACTGCCCAATTATCTTTATAGGTAGTGTTCTTTAGAACGGATTTCTAGCAATTTAGTCTTTTTAAAACATTTTCGTGTGACAAAGGCTCGGCAAACCGACTCTCAGTAGAAGATTCTGCAGGTGCTTCGTTTGGTGATCCGTTAAAGGAATTTGGCTCACTTAACAATCCATGCCCGAAAAACGATTCAATATTGAAATTAGGATCTTGACCTTGTGGACTTCTAAAAGTCGAAGGAGTTATAAAGATGTCTGAATCGTCTCCCGAGTCCATTGCAAACAATTTGCGAAGTAAACGGATGTGCAAGACAGAGCCACGCAGTTTAAATAACTCTGTTAAACAATGCTCAATCAATTTGACTTTATGCAGTATGCTTTCATTCACTCATCCAACTCACAATGAAGCTCAATCAAGTGTAACTTTAAATTCTAAGATTTAAATAATTTRTGCATTGGCGTAAATCAATAATAATACCCATTTAGCTAAACCACCGGTTAATTTCTCGGTTTTCCCGGCAGTTATAGATCGGTTTTGTGCGATTTGAAAACTCTATATATACTTCGACTGAGCGAAAAAGCTTTTATGCAAAGATCATAAAAGATAACTTTCAAGAAATCCTAAAAGATATCACTTTCCATTGACCTTGTTTTGTTAAAAGGTTGCTTATACTTTTAATCATTCCCAAGAGAGTGGCTATAGAAAATAATAGAAATAATAGAAAATGGGTGTGGTACATCAGTAAACAACTTAAGAGGCAGTCTCAGTAATAGCGGTCCACTGGATCTGGGCTCCAAAAATGGATTTCTTTTAYMTTCCTTCCATCAAAACTACTATCTATCCTTRTAACAAAACTGCAGTTAGAATTGATTCAAAGTCTTTTTTACCGGCCGCCATGGGCACTCTTGCATATCGACCACTAATTAGTCAAAATATGCTGATTTTAATGGTCGCTGAGGCCTATTTTCAAAGTCCATTTTCTCAGGATTTGCCTTAGATGAAAACAACGTTTTTAGATCCAACATGTAGTTTAGACTTCGTAGTATCTAGAAACAGCAAAAAATTATTTTTGAATGAGCGAATCATACAAAAA